GCTGCCAAGATGAGCTCTGTCTAGTCTAGAGCGCTAGCAGCATGCGAGGAAGGTATCCATAGCTTCCCACACTCTCATTAATTTCTAATTATGCTATTGCTTGCTTTCTACATGATTGCTTATTTACCAAAGACAGCTTTATTGTGCCGTCCAGTTCCTTATAACTAGCAAACCCATTGTTATGCTAAAATGAATGTTCTAAATGTTATTTATTATTTGATAAACCTTGTGTAACCCTGAATGAGGACATTAAATGGCAAGAACACTACTACAAAATCCCATTTTAAATAAGTCACTGAGACAGCTGTGCCTTTATAAAACACATTAGAGTGGCACTCAGAGCACATATGGCTCAGGGATATATACAAATTATACAATTTCTGTCATTCGATCAAATAAGAGGGACGTTTTGACCCCAGAAATGAGTCAAATGTAAGTTGTAATTCAAGCCCCACCGGAGGCCCTGGTGGTAATGTATCCTGACGGCTGATCAAAGAGCCCTGACCATTTGACCCACCAGATCAGCGACTTACTGTATCTATTATGGCTAATACAGACCCGAGCTTGAAGATGCATGGAGATAAACAGATAAAGGGCAATAGATACAGTAGATAAATGTTGATTTATACCCACCCAAGCACACTGCTACATACACAGATGGATTTCATGTGTGCGGAAATGGGCAGGCACATATAACATGTATAGGAACACGTCTGAAGACAGATGCTTTATATATGTATGCACATGACAAATACAATCTTAACTCCATTTCCATTGGTGCACTGGTATAACCGCCACACTCAGCTGAGCTCCTGCTGATTTGCACACAGCAGAGAGTACCCCACCTTCTATTTTATTATGCACGTGCTGCCATGTACAAACATGTCTATGCCCATGGATCTGCTTCCTCTGTGGTATGAATGTGAGCAGCTCCATCCACGACTTACCCAGCCTTGCCCTGAGGCACACAGCCAGAACTAAAAGCCCTCTTGGCTGCTCTGCAGGGCCATGGACATGGGGTGTCTCATCAGAGCTGGGTGAAATCAAGCTCTGCCAATGCTGCTGTGCAAACCAGCAGCCCCCATGCATGTCTGCAGACAGATGTGGCAGCTAAGACCTGATGGCTTTGATACACAGATGGGCAGCATGAGTGTGCCAGCAAAAGAATGGTATAACAGCAGCATTAGGAGGAGAAAACGATGTGCAAATAACTTTGTCTATTTAACTATCGTATTTCCAACACTCACTGTTAAAGCAGTGAGGTCCTATCTGTGCTCTCCTTCAGAAAAGCAAAGAGCTGCATATTCCACTGTATCTATCTCCCTGGCCTGAATAAACAATACTGATGTGTAACAGCATTTGCATGGGGAGTCACACAGATTAACTCCTTGGTACAGAAACAGGCATGTTGCTCAGCTGGAAAAAGCCGTGCACTGAAAGCTCCTGGGATTAGGCAGAGCGCAGGATCACGAACGCCCAGCAGTAAGTAATGAGCTCTTTCCCCCCTGGAAGCTACCTGTTGCCCTGCCAGCAGCCTGGGACATGCCATGGAGAGAGGAAAACATGGCAAACATTCCCCTAAGGCTTTGCTTAATGTCTCGCAGTGAACCAGCAGAGTCACACCCGTGCTCCAAACAAGCCAAGGGACAGTCATTCCCATACGTGGCATCACATCATCCCCAGCTCCCTTGGTAAGGCATTTCCTGCATTAATTCACCCACCACGTGGGATAATGAGACCTTCTTGCAGGGTATTCCCAGATGTAGTTAATTCATGTTTATAAAGCACCTGTGGACTCTTCCTGCAAGTGCAAGTCTCGATGCCAAACAAAACCAACTCATTCCTGTCCAGCTCCATGAGGAATTTCCTGACCTTTGCCTTTCCTGGGGTTATTTTTCCTATCACAAAGGCCCTAATAAATGCTTTTTCTTACTGATTTTGTGGCTGTTTTTATTTCTTTTAACAGCACCACTGCATTTTCACTCATCTTTCAGAGTCCATCATGTGGCTGCTAATCTGTCCATGCCTCAGGATCTTTGCACTACTTAATTCCTTGTCCCTGTTTGAGAAGGGAAGGAAAGATAGAAAGAAAATTGACAGGGGTGAGGAATGATGCTCTGCTGACTTCATGAGACACAACAGATACCTCACTCATCTCAGGGGTCAAATGTCCACGATGGTTTGATCAGATGTCAAGTTGCATTTATACTCTGGCCCCTGTTGGGGGTTGAATTACATTTTACATTTGACTCACTTCTGGGGTCAAATGTCCTCCTGTTTGATGGAACAAGAGGAATTATTCTCCCCAAGCAGGCTGTGCTATGTGAGGCTGGATCTGTCAGCGCTCTCTTTATGTTTTAGGCTCCTGTATTTCTGCATTTCATTCTCCGCCAAGAGCAGCCCCTTTTGGGATGATAACAAGAAATGCAGGTGGTGGCACATAAGCAGTCCCATCGAGTAAGATGTGGGGAAGAAGTTAGCAGCTTTACAGGGCTGGGAATGATGAAACAAACACTGGTCCTGGCTTTATCATGAGACACTGCAGAAGCTCCTTAGGATCAAAAACGCCACAAAGGGCTGAGATAGAGCTCATGTCAGGGTGCTGCAGGATCCCGATGCTGCCCTAGGACTGCTCTACCAGCAGCATCCCTATAGCTCCAGTTGTAAAATGAGAATAATCTTATCTGTGTGATGGGAAAGCATGACTCAAGAGCTTAAGAAGCTGCAGAAGGTGTAAAGCATTGCACTGACAGGCAGGAGCCATTTAAAACCCCTTGGGTTTAAACCAGGGGAGGAGGGAGGAAGTAATAAACTGAATTCTGCTTTCTGTCTGCCTCCTTCTAGGTATTTTAAAAGAGAAATCACAAGGCAATACAGAATTTCCTATAACAAACATTATCAAACTTCTTCTGTGGACCTCTAAAATATTCCAGCTGCAATGAAGCCACACACAGAGATTCATTTCTGGCTCTCTTGGCCCTTCCCACCCCCTTCAAAGCACAGAGGGGCTGGACTGGGGGTTTCATGGTGACAGTCTCACCCCAGGCCACCACAAGCACGCTGGTACCAGCAGATCTCACCCTGTAGTGCAAAGCTGGGGTAAATAAGCAAGTGTGCCCTAAACCAGGCAATGTGAAGCCAGGATTTCCCACTGTTAATGTTGGACACCCCAGCCCCTGCGCCTGAGCTGGGCTCAGTGTAAGCTGCGCCTGCTGCCGAGAGCTGCGGGTGCCTGATGGTGCCCAGTGCAACCAGTTTAAGACTAAAATCCCCAGCCCACCAGGCCCATCTATTACAGCATGATGGCTTCAGTAGTTAGTGTGTATGATTTGCCTTTGTCCCCAAGGATCCCAAAGGCTGAGCCACATCCCGCGTGTGCCGGTGATTTAGCAGCCTCTCGAGCAAGATTGTGAAACCACACTCCTGCTGTTTAATGTACTCGTTCAGGTTAAAACAGGTTTAGCAAACAATAAAAAACATCTGGAACCCCCATTTAAATGGAAGAGTTGTGTTATTAGTAATAAAGTCATAACTGGTGCTATAAAGCGTTCTCTGGTAAACACGTGCTGATGTACAGGTAAATAAAGGGAGATTAATGAGGGTGAAGGAGGAAGGCTGCTCCCTGTCTTCCTCGGCCAACGTTCATGCTGGGTGGGAACCATGACTAATATCCTTGCAGGGCATGGACTGGGATCCTCACCCCCTTCCCTACTCCCTTCCTGCTGCCCCATGTGAGGCGAGGGTGGGTCACTGCAGCATCCCATGGGGCACCCATCCTGGCAAGAGCCCTGGTGCCACCTGCACCCCTTTGTCACACTCCCAGCTCCTCTCTGACTGTCCCAAGCATAGCAGCACAAGGAGGGTAACTGGAGATGCAAGATGAGACAAAGCCAGAGCAGGAAAAACTCTCCAAAGCAATAAGCCAATGCACTGACATGCTGTAAGGGGGCAAATAACAGGTTTTCATCCTATTTTCAGTTTAGGGTGCATATATTTTAATCACTACTGATATCTGAGTTGGATACACTGTGGGTGACTCACTAGCCTTGTAATTCATAGGGGTGATGCAGTAAGTACCAAACCCCAGCATCAGAAACACACCAAAACCTCGCCCAAGCCACACACATCAGGTCCAGGGCAAGAGGAATCTGTCATCATCTTGGGCTGGGTGGAAATACAATGCATGTGTTTGTGGTCAGCAGGGCCCTACATGAAAATGGCCCAACACAGCCCAAAATCAGGATGCTGAGAAATAGCAGCAATGAACTTGTACTTTCCCTCACAAGGCAGCTGGATGTGATGAGATGCTTTGCCCCAAGGCACCTCAGAAATGCACTGAGGCCCCAGCATGTTCTAGTAGGGTCGGACTACTGGGGGATGCAGATGGGACCATCTCTTATCAGGAGGACAGGTAAGCATGTGCTTAGGTCCCATTGGGACCTAAGGATGGACTTACTGTATTTTTAGGGCTCCAGTGAATGCACATGCCTGTTTCATGTTTATCCAAGCCCAGAGAGAGCCCTGATGCCTCAGGCACCTGTGAGACATGAGCACTTCTATTCTAGTCCTCCACGTGTGGGCTTACAGCTCCAAAACAGGAAACCTTTGAGTCCTTTTTCTCCCCATGCTGGCTAACTGTCCATCTATTTAGCTGCAGGAAACACTCTGCGTGAGGGAAGGAGACACCTGAAGCACACACAATACTTGGAAACCTCAATGCATCCAGAAACACCAATTGCATGCTCATTTTGAGTGAAGGATGCTGAAGGAAAGCTTTTCAGTCTCAATGGAGAGGCAGCACCAGGAACATGCCTCACCCTGCACTGAGGGCATCCGTTGCCGCTCCTTGGCAGAAGCTGGTTGGCAACACCCCCATCCAGTGAACCTCCTGATGTCCAGGAATGCAGATTCACAGAGAGCCCCTTGAATTTGTTCCTGGGAACAGATTAAGTCCCCTATAAAATCTCTTCACACTGCCCACCCCAGCAAACTGCACTTACCTGATTTGCCGATAGAAACTCCTGCGCGTTGTCGTTCATTCCCATGTACATGTTCTCCCCATCAAACTAGAAAGAGACAAGAAAGTGAGACTTAGTGAAAGCCGTCTTCACCCCAGGGTCATGTGAACCGCAAAAGCTTTCCTGGCTCTTTATGTAAAGAACTAAAATTCCCAGAAGAAAATCCTGAGCTGCTCCTTTCAAGCTTTTGAGTGTTTGAGCACATGTACACCACCTTATTGCAATGGGACAAGGTAACATAGCACATTCGTGATAGTTTTTCAGTGAAATAATGAATTAGTTGCTCCAACTCAAATAAATATGCCAAAGATGTGCAAAAGTACAGATGTACCCAGCAGCAAAGTTCACCCAAATGAAGTTCTTCCTGAATTCCTACCACGCCATCAATCAGCCTTAAAAAGCCAACTTCTATCAATGGAAATTTCCAAGACAGGCAAGTCCCATTCAATCCTCTTCCGGACAGCTACGTAGTCCTTAACCACCAAAGCAAACCTACAGCAGCAATGCAGAAAGCCACTCAGGACTGTACACAGGGGGGTCTCTGTGCAAAGCCTGATTCCCAACAGTTTGATGCTGTTTGCAAACTACAGCTGCAAGGAGGCACAATTCCCCCATCTCCTGTTCGCCTCCTGGGTGAGAGGCAGAGCCAGCTGAGCACAGAGCATTCACCTGTCCCCCTCGCCTGTTTCTGAGCTGCTAATCCATGTATTAGGATACCAAACCCCCTTGGAGCACAGCAAAACTCTTCTCATTAATTAGCTACAACAGAAGCTTTTCACTTGTTCCGGTTCCAAACGAAGGAATAAAGCCCTCTGGGATTGGCTCCGGCTCGAAGTATGGCTGGGGCAGTTCTCAAGGCTAAGTTCACAAATTAATTATGGCAATAAAATGGGCTATGCCATAAAACACCCCCGAGACAAGGATGAAGGTACCAGCTGTGAATGACACCATATACTTAACAAGAAGAGCCAACTCTTTTGCCCTTACAAGCTGGATGATGAATTGAGGATTGTTCACCCCTTGTGTGTCCACTTGCTCTCTAATACGAGGCTGATAGCAGTTATGCCTTAAGAGAAATGGGTCATACTAAGAACAATAAAAGAGAAATCTAAATAAAACCAGGTGAAGACTTTCAGCGTAGACTATTAATTACACTTCCATTTCTCAGAGTGCTACAGGATTAGCTATTAAAGTCAGCAGAGTTAGCAAAGCCAAGCGTGGGTAACACAGCTCTGCTCAGCGTCAGACACCTTCTAATTGCCAAACCGTCCTCTGGGATAGCAGAGAAAACCAATTAAAAGCAGCAGAATTAGAGCAGGTGTTGTGCCACTCATTACCCAGTCCTGACAGCAGGTGCAGCAGGGGGAAGGGGATTCCTGAGCAAATGCAGGATTGGGTTAAACCCATCTATGAGGCAGGAGCCACAGGATGCAGGGAGCATCCGTGGTGCATGGATAACGGCTTGCTGGGACAAGCAGTTATCACAGAAGCAAGGCCAGGTTGGCCAGAGTCTTGGGTGACATGGTCTGGTGTGAGGTGTCCCTGCCTGTGGCAGGGGGTTGGAACTGGATGATCTTAAGGTCCTTTCCAACCCAATCCATTCTGTGATTCTATAAGCCAGCTGGATCCTATGCACTTTAAAATGAACTTCCCTCCACCCGTAAACCAATTGCCAGCACAGCCAGCTCCTGCTAACAGGGTTCCAGTTGGAGCTGTGGTACTTCCAGGCATGGAGACTCAGTCAGCTCCACAGCCCAAATACCCTCTGCCAGCCCCATCAGAGAAGGCTGAATTTGCAGAAGAGAAGGCACAGTTTGGTGGAGATGCTCAGCCCTCCAGCAGCAGGACCCAGGCTCTGCAGGAGGAGCCAGTCTCTGATTTGGCATGGGCAGCAGCAGAGGTTTCAGGAGCCAGTCTTTTTGGAACAGGCAAAATTGTGGTCCTGAAGTCCTATTCCCTAGGTCTTTTTGGAACCACATCACCAGTAAAACATCAGGTGGATCCTGCAGCCTGAACAAGACACTCCAAGGCCCTGCACCACATGGATGTAGGGACCTGGCCAGTGGTCTGATTGGCATGAATCATAGAATGGTTTGGGTTGGAAGAGATCTTAAAGCTCATCCAGTTCCAGCCACCTGCCACAGGCAGGGACATCTGTTAGACCAGAGCTTTGTGTCAGGTCAGCTGTACAGATGAGCTACGTGGTACCGTGGGATGCTTAAAAGCAATTGCATCTTGAGACTGCACACTGAGATGCTTCAGGTGAGCTGCACAAGAGCTTTAAAGCAAGCAGCCCTAAAAATATTCCAGTGGGGAGATAGTTCTGTCCATCCCTGGAAGCAGTCAGGAATTTGTACTGCAGAAATATTTACTTCCACTTCAGCAAAAGAAGAGTTATTTCCCAAGTAAAAGCTTTGCCCTTCTGAGAGACTTAAATACTTAGATGATGCACATCCATCCACCCTGCTTCCTTGCAAACATGAACCCCACTTATGTCCTCCTCCTCCTCCTTTGCAGATGTAGCCTAAGACCAGTTTGCAACAGACATTCTAATATCTTCATTAGATATTAGGCAGAAGCTCTTCCCTGTGAGGGTGCTGAGGCGCTGGCCCAGGGTGCCCAGAGAAGCTGTGGCTGCCCCATCCCTGGCAGTGTTCAAGGCCAGGTTGGACACAGGGGCTTGGAGCAAGCTGCTCTAGTGGAAGGTGTCCCTGCCTGTGGCAGGGGTGGGAACTGGAGGAGCTTTAAGGTCCTTTCTAACAAAAACCAGCCTGGGATTCGGTGATTCAAGTAATTTAGGAAAAATACCCCAAATCCTGACCTCCAGCAGAAAAAGATTCCTGATTCTTCAGAAATTGAAAGTCACCTGGAAATCTACATTAGGGAAGGACGCAGTGTCTTCAGTGGGGAGGTCCAGGGCAGGACAAGCACTCGGCTTTCTCTGTATCACCCTGTTTGTCAGAATGTCTTTTTTATGGCTTTCTGCTATTCCTGCATCTCCACTCCACACTTCCTTCTGCCCTTGATGCTTCCATAATAACTGTAATGAACCCTGCCTTCGAAATTACTGTGCCTCTGATTGCCAGCCTGAGCAGCCAGCCTGAAAATCAAGACTCAAAATGCAATGGAAACTTTGGAACTTCCCCACTGCTGATTGGATTTTTTCCTCCCTCTCCTCCAGGCTATGAGGGTGCAAACAAATTTATTAGAAATTCTCCCATCAGGGTATTTTTTCAATTAGATGTTTGCCACTTACACACGAGCCAGGTAGAGCAGATAAGTAATGTGCTCTCCCTCTGCTCATTATAGCTTCGCTACCGAATGCACTTCGAAACAATCAGTCTCATCATTCCAGGTAGATTTAGGGCAGAAAGAGACATTTTAATATTTCCCTTTGGTTACAAATGCCTCCTCGCTTTTCACTTTGGTCTAACTCCCAGTGCATGTCAAGCCTCCCAGGCAGTTCCAGACCTTGGTGCCTCCATTCATCACCTTTTATGCCCCCCAAAATTGATCAAGCCTGTATTGGATGATGTGCAAATGTGAGTGGCAGGTATCATTTTCATGCCCTAATTTGAAAGGAATATACTCCCATGCAATTATCTTTAGCATCCTTTTGCTCTTTGGTAATTATTCAATGTTTGTTGTTCTTTGGTTAATAGAAGAGCCTATTAAGCAAATCAGTGGCTGCAGCTAATTCTCACCCTCTCCTGCTTGAAATGAGCACAAAGCCAAGGTAAGCAGAGATCCCTCTCAGCTTGTAGTGCTTTGCATCCACAGCATGGTGTTCACTTCAAAATCTGGGCATGCAAACCCTGTGAAGCCAAGCTGGGGAGCTGTGAGAGGAAGATGCTTTTCCTCATCCCATCTTTATCTAACTTACATTAGCAATGGTTGCCTACAGGCATAACCAGAATCAAGGACCTGTGCTTCAAAAATGACCCATAAAGCCCCACTCTGCCAAGTCCCAGCTCAAACTTGCCTCAGGCAACAAGCTCAGGGTGGAAACAACTCTACTGGACAGATTAAAACCAAACCAAAACACCCCCAGAGGGAACTGCCCAAACTCCCACCAGCTCTGGCAAAAAAGGCATTGCTGTCAAATCATCATCGTCAGATGGTTTGGGTTGGAAGGGACCTTAAAGCTCCTCCAGTTCCAACCCCTGCCACGGGCAGGGACACCTTCCACTAGAGCAGCTTGCTCCAAGCCCTTGTGTCCAACCTGGCCTTGAACACTGCCAGGGATGGGGCAGCCACAGCTTCTCTGGGCACCCTGTGCCAGCACCATCTCATGCCACAGGAGATGTCTTCACCTGACGCAGGTGGATCAGCACACAGATGCTGTCAATCCCATTCCAGCTGAGAGTCCCAAGGAAATCAGGGTGATGGACACAGAGCCATGCTTCCACTAGAGCACCTCTCTATGGCGCATAGCACCATGTATATTGGAGCTAAGCAGGAGATCCAAGGAGAGTTCTATTCCGTGAAAAAACACTCTCTGAAATTTAGTTTTTCATTACTCCAAAATACAGGTTTTTTACTAGGGCTCTTGCAGGGGAGCTGCAGCTGGCACCACAGCTCCAGAGGCAGAGGCTGCTGCGCATCTACCAGCCCATACCGGGAGCCAAGCACAGGCTTCATTCAGATCATGTTCTACAAAGCACTTTTAATTATTGCTTTTCTACACTCACTTTGGTTTGTTACTTTTGCAATGTGATGTTATGTTCAAGCCTGTAAATGTGCCCAGAGGTCAAATGGGTCCCATGGTGGTAAGGTGAAAACAAATGAAAAAACTAAAAGCACGCTGCAAGCTGGGACAGACCGCAGAGCAAGGCAGCTGTGTGATCTCCAGCTCTGCAAACATGGAGAATAAATGTTTGTGAACTGGGAAGGACCCAGTGGAAAGAAACACACCCTCCTGCCAACATTCAGGGGTGTTACTTTCTCATGGATGGCACTGCCAGCTTGTACAATTCGATTATGAATCTCATCACATCCTTTTATTTCCTGAGAGTCATGAGCTGAGATGAAAACCTCCACTCTGTAAG